CGCTTGGTGAACCCAGTCAACTATGCTGTATTGAATGAATTAAACTAAAATGTTCATTTAACATGATGTAGGCACCTGGTATTTCTGTGCTTTATATGCCTTCAGCTTTTTCTAAGCTGCTTTTTTATTAATCAGATTGATAGAGAGTTTCTAATTTTTCCTGAATATAGATTTGGTTTGGTTACAAGAATTCATTAAGTGACCATTAAAAGTTACGTCATCACTGAAAAATGTGACTTATGACCATTTTTAACCATTGCAGCTTCCCCATAGTCATGTAATCAAAATTCAGAGGCTTGCCAACTGACTCATATTTATGACGGTTGCAGTGTCCTGGGGTCAGGTGATCTCCTTTTGCCACCTTCTGACAAGCAAAGTCAATGGGGAAGCCAGATTCACCCATGTTACTAATTAATCAACCACAGTGATTCACTTAACAACGGTGCCAAAAAAAGGTCATAAAAATGGGGCAAAACTCTCTTAACAAATATCTGGCTTAGCAACATACATTTTGGGCTCAGTTGTGGTCGCAAGTCGAGGACTACCTGTATTGCATATCAAGCATGCAAGAATATTTGCCAACATTTGTTTCTATGCAAAAGGTAATTACAAATAGTCTGCACTTATGGCCACAACGGAGCCTCAAATTTTTGTTGCTAAGTGAGACATTTGTTAAGGGAGATCTGTCCCATTTTATGACCTTGCTTGCCACAGTTGTTAAGTGAATCGTAGCCGTTGTTAAATTAGTAACCCGGTTTGTTAAGTGAATCTGGCTTTCCCATTCAATTTGCTCATCACAAGGTCACAAAAAAGGATCATGGGATACTGCAACCGTCATAATTATGAGCCACTTGTCAAGTGTCTGAATTTTGATCAGGGGAACGCTGCAACAGTTGCGTGAAGAAAACAAAATCACTTTCACTACAGCTGCAAGGTTAGCTTATGCCCAAAGATGGAAAGCTAACGAAACGCTAGATGAGATGGAAATAATTAGGAAAATTTGGATGGGTGCCGAAATGGATAAATTAACTCAAGAATTAAAAAATAAGACCGATTCTGATTATTATAAAATTTGGAAGAAGTTTTACCACTGGTTGAAAAAAAGAAAAGTACAAGAATATACAAATGACAAAAGCTTATGTATATATGTAAATCCGTATTATTTTCTATATTTATTAATTAATGATGTAAGACAATCAGGTGTGTCAGGATGTATGCACCACGTTCATTGTTGTTTTTAAATGTCTTTTCTTTTCTGTATGTTTAATAAAATTTATTTTTAAAAAATCACTTTTCTTACTGCAATGGTAAGTTCAAACGGTCGCTAAATGGAATAGTTGTAAAGGGTTTCCTGTAATTCAATGGGCTTTTTGCTTAAAATTTATATTTGCTAAGAGCACGGGTGGTATTCAGCCGGTTCACACCGGTTCTATAGAACCGGTAGCAAACATTTTGACTGGTTTAGAGAACCGGCAAATGCCGCCTCTGGCTGGCCCCACCCCACCGCCACCGCTCTTACCTCTCCTATATTCTGTTATTTATTAGCTGAGCTGATTCATGCAGAGAGCGGATTGCCATGACTCAGCTGAGGTAAAAAAAAACAGCACAGCTCACCAGCATTGATACAGAAGGTGGTCTCTGAGCCCTTTTCACGCACATGCGAAACCTGCTGTCAGCGTTCCAGAAAACCAGCCAATAAATCCGAGACAGGCATCTTCTCAAAAGTTCTTTTTTATTTTGGATAGTAAACTGGCACAACTGGGGAATCCTGAATCTGAAAGTTTCGGGTTTCCTTGCAGTAAGTAAAAACTATGTTCGCAGATGATGCTACCATATTGGGTCTCATTACAGGTGGAGATGAAACAGCATACAGGGGGGAGGTTCAAAAATTATCCTCATGGTGCCTAGAAAACAACCTGAACCCTAAATATCAGCAAGACAGAGGAGATGGTGTTAGATTTCTGGAAGAAGAGAGAGGAACCCGCCCCACTTTACATTGTGGGGGGGGGCTGTGTGGAGAGTGTTTCCTTCTTTAAATTCCTGGGAGTCTACCTCCGCAAAGATCTCACCTGGAAAATCGACACAACTCAGGTGGCCAGAAAGGCCCAACAGAGACTCCATTTCCTGAGGGTCTTGCGAAAGAATAAAGTGGAATAACAACTGATGACCTTCTTTTACTGGTCCACAATAGAAAGCGTACTCACATATTGCATTACGATGTGGTATGCTGGCTTGACAGCCGTGGATGGAAAGACATTATAGAGGGTGGTGAGCACAGCACAAAACATCGAGGTCTGTTCCTGATACCACTAGATGACCTCACTAGGGCTCGCTGCCTTAGAAGAGTGAGGAAAATCCTCAGGGACGACTCACACCCCGGTCAGTACTTCTTCACTCTCCTACCATCAGGTAGGAGATAGAGAAGCAGAGCCAGCCGCGCCAACAGGCTGAAGAACAGTTTCTACCCGTGGGCTGTCAAGACTCCTGAACAGAAAATAACTTCATGTCAAGATAGTATGATAGACTTGCAGGTCCGGCACATTGTGCAATAAGGTCACATGGTGTAATAAGGTTGGGACTGGGTTAGGGACTTCTGTCCTCACTGTGAGTTGTGTTGGGTGTGTGTGTGTGCACAAAGGGAGGCTCAGCCAATCTCACTGTACACATGTACTCTGACAATAAAGGTAATAATAAAATAATAATACAAATCCATCCCCTGCACCCATCATCACATCACATGCCCCAATCACCATCCGTCCCAACTTGAGACTTCCCCTCACTTATGTGCAGAGATAACATGACCTTGACTTAGAAAAAGAATGTTATTAGGTCTAACTACATACGCTCCATGAAATTCCCCCCTCCCATGTTCCCAAGCTCAAAATATGGTAGCGTGGGAGCATCTGGTCTCAACATGTATTTGGGGGGTGCATGCACATTAGGTATGCCTGCACAGCTCATCAGCATTGATACAGAAGGCGGTGTTTGAGCACTGCACACACGCACACAAAGTGAAGCGAGCTTTCTGAACCGGTAGGAAAAAAAATTGAAACCCACCACTGGACTAAGAACCATTATTTTTCTCTCTCTTTCTCTTTCCTCCTCTACTGCAGCCACTGTCTTCCATTTGGCCGGAGCCGAAGACACAGTCCCTATTGTGTCAAATCTTCCAAATCCCATGGAGAAGCTTGACGTTATGTTGCATCCACCAAAACTTAGAGATGGGATTGTCTACTGCAGCTGGTCCAGGGGCCTGTCTCCAGAAACAATGCAGGAAATTGGAATAAGATTCCATCCCCCAATAAGTGGGTCCATGCAAGGACCGCAATATACAGGACGGGAGGACATTTTCCAAAATTGTTCCCTTTCCATCAGCAATTTAACCTTCCAAGATTCAGTAAACTACCTGTTGATAGAAGGAGGACCTGGACTCTTTATTGTAGGTTATGCAAACATAACTGTTGTAGGTATGTTTAATACCTTATTATTGCTGTTTCCTAAGATCTCGTGCAAATAACATGTGCCCATTTATGCAGGTGAAGGGCTTCTGCTCTGGCATCATAATACACATAATCCTTGGTTCTATAAAGCTTTTGTAAGACCACACCTAGAGTACTGTATCCAGTTTTGGTCACCACATTGTAAAAAAGATGTTGAGACTCTAGAAAGAGTGCAGAGAAGAGCAACCAGGATGATGAGGGGACTGGAGGCTAAAAGATACAATGAATGGTTGCAGGAACTGGGCATGGCTAGTCTAGCAAAGAGAAGGACCAGGGGAGACAGGATAGCAGCCTTCCAATATTTAAGGGGCTGCCACAGAGAGGAGGAAGGGGGTCAAGCTATTCTCTAGAGCACCTGAAGGCCAGACAAGGAACAATGGATGGAAACTGAACAAGGAGAGATTCAACCTGGAAATAAGGAGAAACTTTCTGACAGTGAGAACAATCAACCCATGGAACAGAAGTTGCCTTCAGAAGTTGTGGGAGCTCCATTACTGGAAGCTTTCAAGAAGAAACGGGACTGCCATTTGTCAGAAATGGTGTAGGGTCTCCTGCTTGGTAGGGGGTTGGACTAGATGACCTACAAGGTCCCTTCCAACTCTGATAATCTGTTAAATCTGATTCACAGCCAGTCATTTAGTGACCAGTGGAAGTTTCAACCGCAGTGGGGGGGGAAAGACTTATGACCCTTTTTCACACTTATGACTGTTGCAGCATCTGGACTATCTGGCTTACTCCAGTTTTACTCCAGTTTTATTCTATACCCCAAAAGAAACACTAGGGAAATTGCCTCCACAATTGATCCTCGTTTCCCTTAAATGTGATTTGTGCTGTACAGTTTTTCCCTTTTGATGATTTGGTTTTGGACAGTAAATTAATAAATGAGAAACTTTCTCTCCCTGTTAGGTTAAATAATTACAATTTCATAACACCGATAGAAGAGAATAACTCGGGATTGAACTGTGGGTTCCTTGGTGCCCTCTGAGCTTGGGTGTTTACTTGCAGACATTTCATTCCCCAACTAGGTAGTCATCAATGCTAACTAAGGAGTGGGATTTGTTCTCTGTTTATAAACCCCATTCTATTGTAGCACTGGTCACATTACTCAGTTGGGTAACAAAACATCTGCAAGAAAACTACCAAGCTTAGAGAACATTCAGGACACAATTTTTGTAATAGCTTCAGGAATTTCCAGAAGATACAATTAAAGCATGGCCATGGGGCTTTGGGTCGTGCACAAGGATTTCCCGCTAGAAAGGTCTAGAAACCAGGAGACTGGGAGTTCTAGTCCTGCCTTAGGCATAAAAGCTGTCTGGGTGACTTAGGACCAATTACCAGG